ATTTAACATATGCTTAATTTCCCATCCGTTATCGTCTACCGCTGAAGTATGAAACACGTTCGACTATGCCTGCGAGTGACTTCTTTTTCTTTGTTTTTTCAAACCAGTACGATCCATCACAATCTGACAGAATCGGGATGGAAATAAGTGCTTTCGGTGTTGTTCGTAACACTTTTGTATAAGAACGATGTACTGAAGATGTCGTCGCACTTAAGACGGTTATTCATCATTTATTTTCTCCTCTGTCCGTATCAAACATCTACTGTCGGTATGTGTAGTCGTTAGATTTATCAAACTTCAATCCTAAAACACGTGTTGTCCTCGTTCACATCAACTTGATCATGATGTAAACGTGGTTACAGAGAATAGAAAGAGTTAAACGCTTTCTTATTCAACAAGAAAGACCCTGAACAACATTTTGGGTTTCGTGCCCTTCATTAAGGTTAACACTGACATTTAAGACAGTAGTGTGGTAGAGGGATGAGTGGAGTACAATGTTGAAAGGCTTAGTACATTGTGTTCTGAAGGAGTGCACATTTCGTGCAATCTATTCTAAAGGGCGGCTCAGGAAATGAGTGTAAAAACAAAGTTATCAAAATACTTAAAAAGAAGAGGAATGTGACTATTTTATGCTCTTTGTGTGAACATGTTGAACATATTTCATGCTCCTGGTGTGAACATTTTAAACGTATTTTCATGCTCTTGGTGTGAACATTTTAAACGTATTTCATGCTCTTGGTGTGAACATTTTAAACGTATTTCATGCTCTTGGTGTGAACATTTTAAACGTATTTCATGCTCTTGGTGTGAACATTTTAAACGTATTTCATGCTCTTGGTGTGAACATTTTAAACGTATTTCATGCTCTTGGTGTGAACATTTTAAACGTATTTTCATGCTCTTGGTGTGAACATTTTAAACGTATTTCATGCTCTTGGTGTGAACATTTTAAACGTATTTCATGCTCTTGGTGTGAACATTTTAAACGTATTTCATGCTCTTGGTGTGAACATTTTAAACGTATTTCATGCTCTTGGTGTGAACATGTTAAACTGAATAGGTAACTTAAAATTAAAATGTAGAAATGAAAGATTTGTAAAAAAAATGCTATAGAGTTCGTTAC